AGCTCAGAGCCTGGAGCCTGTTTCAGATTCTGTGTCTCCCTCTCTCTCTGACCCTCCCCTGCTCATGCTGTCTCTCTCTCTCAGAAATAAATAAAACATTAAAAAAAAATTTTTTTTAATGTGATGTAATCCAGGGCTCATTTGGTTAAGATTCCGATTTTGGCTCAGGTCATGATCTCATGGTCTGTGAGTTCAAGCCCTGCACCAGGCGCTGTGCTGATAGCTCAGAGTCTGAAGGCTCCTTCAGATTCTGTGTGTCCCTCTCTCTCTGTTCCTCCCTGTTCATGCTCTGTCTCTCTCTCAAAAAAAAAAAAATTTAAATGTGATGTAATCCAAAATGGATAAAGACCTCCCTGTCTTTATCCACTTCTCCAAGCCTTCTGAGTTGGGGGCCTCAGGAAAGGTATAGCTCAGGTAAAGATGGTACTTCCTGTAAGATCTAATCAGGTCAAGATGGAGTCTCAGGTAAGGTCTAACTCAGATGAAGAATGAGATCTTAGGTAAAGTATAATCAGATGGAGATAGGATCTCAGGTAAAGTCTAACTCAGGTGATGAATATGATCATAGGTAAAGTCTAAGTGAGGTTACAGGGTGGTCTCAGGTAAGGTCTGACTCAGATGAAGATGAGATTTCAGTTAAAGTCTAAGTCATGTGAAGAGTTCAGTCTCAGGTAATGTCTGACTCAGATGAAGAGTGTGTTCTTAGGTAAGGTTTAACTCAGGTGAAGCTGGGATCTAAGGTCTAATTCAGCTAAAGAATGTAGTTTCAAGTAAAGTCTAACTCAGGTGAAGAAGGTCTCAGGTATGGTTTAACTTAGGTGAAGAGCGGGGTCTCAGGTAAGCCCTAACTCAAGTGAAGGGCGTGGTCTCAAGTAACATCTAACTCAGGTGATGGGAGGGTCCCAGCTAAAGTCTAACTCCGGTGAAATTGGGATCTCAGGCAAGGTGTAACTCAGGTGAAGATAGGGTCTCGGGTAAGGGCTAACTCTGGTACAGACAGGACCTCAGATATGTCTAACTGAGGTGAAGAATGTGATCTTAGGCAAAGTCTAAGTCAGGTGAAGGGTGTGGTCTCGGGGAAGGTCAACTCAGGTGAACAGTGTGAGCTCAGTTAAGGTCTAACTGAAGTGAGGGTAGGATCTCAGGTAGGTCTAATTCAGCTGAAGGTGTGGTCTCAGGCAAAGGTGATGGAGGAGGGCTCTGGGACTTAATGTGTCTCGAGGTCAGGGCACACTTTTGGACCCTCCCCCCCATCATCAGTGGCTGGGGCTGCCCCTTTCTCCTGGGAGAAGAGGGTTTATAACTGCGCCAGGCAGGGGCAGTCCCCAGGCCAGGGGAGGCCACAGAGCAGCCGTGGGCTGTTAGCCACAGTCACTCAGCAGCTGTGAGGGGGTCTGGGCCGGTGCTGCAGCCTCCAGAACAGAGGGTGGTCAAGATTGTTCTTTTAAGGGGCGCTTGGGTGGCTTAGTCGGTTAAGCGTCCGACTTTCGCTTAGGTCATGATCTTGCGGTTCATGGGTTCGGGTCCCGCGTCGGGCTCTGTGCTGACTGCCAGCTCAGAGCCTGGAGCCTATTTCAGAGTCCGTGTCTCCCTCTCTCTCTGACCCTCCCCTGCTCACGCTGTCTCTCTCTCTCTCTCTCTCCTAGAAAAAAAAAAAAAGATTGTTCTTTTAAACACGTGTATGAGGGGATTCCAATGGCTAATGGAAAGTTGAAGAATGCGATAGAATGGGGGTGGAAGGGGGTTATCTCGGACGTCTAGTGTTCTCTTCTAGCCAATCTGCAGCACACCCTAGAGCGGGATTTGGAGTTTGTGAAACAACAAAGCAAGGGATCCTTCCCGGTTGTGACGGGATGACAGCCACCCCCCAGCTCTGGCGTCACCGAGTCAGCTGTGGGTGGGCAGCACCAGCAGAGCCCTTCCATCACGTCTCCTGTCTCCCCCACGTCCATCCCCTCCCGTCCTCCCTAGTCTCTGAGCTGCTCAAGTGGCATCACCTGAGTGCATTTGTTTCCCACCGTGACCTGCTACAACCACTAACGTCCCTGAAGCGCACCTTCTCAGGGCCTTGCTGCACCAGCCCCAGCTCCCCGGCCTTGGCCCACTGCGGAGGACAGGATGAGCCTGCTTCTGGACCCCGGTTCCCAGGCCTTGGCCCCAGGGCCAGCTTCCATGGGCTGCTGGAGCCCCTAGGGCTGGTAGGAGGAGGGGGAAGGGTAGGGTCCTGCATTTATGGACCCAGGACATTGTGAAGCCCGCTTTGTTTGGACAGAAGACCCGGGGCCACCTGGCTGGAGACGGATACAGCCAATTCCCCCCGGGGAGGGCGTGTGACTCAAGCCCTTCCCCATCCATCTCTCAGGGAGGAGCCTGTCAAGAGCTTAGCGTTATCACCCAGCACCCCTGCCCCCTATAAAGGGAGAGACATTTCTTCGAGGACTTCTACTTTTTGTCTACTTCAGACTCCCGTCCCCAGCACTGCAAGTACCACCACCTGCTCTGCCGTCCCGGCTTGCCTTGGCCCGGGCTGGCCTCACACTGTTGAGAATGAATGATTTCTCCAGCAGAGGAGGGGGAACTCCTCTCATCCTCACTTCCTGGCTCTTTCCTGCCGGGAAGAGGTACCTTCAGCAAGAGAGTGCGCTTACTTTCCCAGCCATCCCGTCAAGCTTGACTGACTCCAGCCAACCTGTCTAGCTCCCAAGAGCTATGATGGATGGTATTTCAGGAGCTCCCACCCGCCCCCCCTCGGGCAGCCACTTTCCAAGCCTTGTACTGGATTCCCCACCATCTGTAGTTTGCTAAACAGAAGTTAGGAACGAGATGATGACGTGTCATGGTCCCTTGGAGCTGGAGATCCAGTCTTGAAACAGGATAGGAGCCACGGGCAGCTGGTCAACTATTTCGTTCGAGAGTTACCGGGGAGCATCTCAGAGATGCTCCCAGCATGATCTCTGAGAATGCATCACTCGGTCCAAGATTCAGTGTCAGGAGAGTCTGAGTGGCCTCGCCTGGCTCATGGGCCCACGTCTTGGCTGCGTGCAAAAGTCCTTTGATTCGCTGTCCCACCCAAAGGGCACACAGGGTGAGAAGCTCAACTCCACAAACAAAAGCTGGGGTGCTGGGGCGCCTGGGGGGCTCAGTGGGTTGAGGGGCCCACTCTTGATTTCAGCTCACGTCATGATCTTGCAGTTTTGTGGGTTCCAGCCCTAAGCCTGGCTCTGTGCCAGCAGCGCGGAGCCTGCTTGGGATTCTCTCGCTCTCTCTCTGCCCCTCCCCTGCTCGCACTTCTCTTTCAAAATAAATAAATAAACTTAAAAATAAAAAAGCTGGCGTGCTACCTCCAGGAAAGGGGAAACAGATGCTGGGAAATTAGACAAATGCCCCCCCAGGACCTGTGTCTCTGTGTTTCCCCCACCATGCGGCTAGTGGACCCCACCTTACTCCTGCAGAAACCACACACGAGAAACTCCCACACGGCAAGGTGGCCCAGAAGCGCCTCCAGGCTGCCCTCTGGAGGCCACGGGTGGGTATAACCTCCTGGACGACAGGAATCCAGTAAAGGCTGCAGAATGAAGCTAACCAGCTGGACCCTAGGGTACGATGCTCTGAGACCCAGAAAGAGTTCTGTGTGTGTTTCACATACTTTAGGAGCAATCAGTCCAGAGGCTTTCTGACTTTAATGGTCTCTGTCCACTACCTTTCCCTACTGTCACCCCCGGCCCTCCAGGTCTCACCCTCCCTCCACCAGTCACCCACCTCGGGGACCATCCATTCAGGATGGAACAATGTTGAGTCTTACAGGAAGCCTCGGACGGAGATGCCGCTGTGGTTAAACCATCTCATCAAGCACAGGGCCCTGTTATACTCCTGCCGAACGGGATATGCCTCTGGGCTCGCAGAGTCAGCCAAATGGTTCCTTCCTCCCCGGTAAGAAGTCCACAGGCACATTCAAATACATCCATAAATATTTATTCAGCGTTTACGAACTGGCAGGTACCATGGGGACACCCTGGTGATAGCATGTTGCACTTGCAGGCTTGAGGGGAGGACACATGAGGCCACTGGATGCACACGAATGTAATTAACCATGATATTTGCCAGGAGGGAAATGTACATTCTAGAGCAGATAGCAGGAGGCCATGTGACCTGCAGGTCGGGGCTGGTTTCTCTAAAGAGGTAATGTTTGAGTGCCATATTCAGGGTGAAGAGCTCGGTAGGCAGACGGGGAAAGTCACCTGTCTGTCGTCGGAGGCCACAGCACTGTGCTGGGCCTGGGTTGTGGGACGGAGCTTCGTCTTGATCCTCAGAGCGATCGTAAAATACTAACTAGCTCATTTTAAGCAGGCTGCTGTGGATGATTGAGGGAACTGCATAGAGGGAAGGAAAGTGAATATTTAGGGGCACCTGGGTGGCTCAGTTGGCTAACCGTCTGTCTGTGGCTTGAGTCATGATCTCACAGTTCATGAGATCGAGCCCTGCTATGGGCTCTGTGCTGACAGCTCAGAGCCTGGAGCCTCCTTTGGATTCTGTGTCTCTGGCTTTCTCTGCCCCTGCTCCACTTGTGCTCTGTCTCTTTCTCTCAAAAATAAATAAATATTGAAAAAGAAAAAGAAAAGAAATTGAATATTTAGTCAGGAGGCCAGGCCACAGGGAGATTTGGATGAGGAAGTGGGGGAGAAGTGGGAGGATCTAGGGAGTATTTCGAACTTGGACTTGGAGGACTTGATAATGGGGTGCAGGTGAAGAGCGGCCCTGGGATTCTGGAGGGTGCACGTCCCTCTGTCGCTGCCCCTACAACACACCACCTGTTACCGTCCCTCCCACCCCGAACTGCAATGTCATCCAGCTGGGGATCTTGGCTTGTGCTCACATCCGGGTATCTTAGGCAAACTTGGTGCATCTCCGCTCCCGGCCTGGCGGCCCTGCAGCCCTGAAATTCTCCAGTAGGTGGCAGCACACGAAAACCGAACCGGCCACTTCTTCCGGGATGTGAACTTTGGTTTCCTCCGCAGCCTGCTGACTCCGCGTGGTCAGCTTCCCCCGCCGCGGTCCCGATTCCCAGAGAAGCCCTTCCTTCTCCCGCCTTTCTGAGCGGCCTCCGTGCAGGGGGTGACTTACCCAGGGAACTTTTCATGTGAGGCCACGGCCTGGAGCCTCTTTATTTGGGGCTGCCGGGGCTTTCCCCAGGCTGTTGTCCCCCTTCCCGGCCTTTCACAAAGCGCGCTTCTCTCCTCCGATGCGCAGCCTGGGCACCCGGACCGCATCCGTGCGAGCCTGCCGGGTCAGGTCAGCGGGAGATGGGCAAAGCCCAGGCCTGAGTCAGAAGGTGGGTTTGGGTCTAGGAAAGGGGCTTGGGGTGAGCCTGGTTCTGAAAAGCTCAAAGCCTCCCCTGGGAGAGGTGAGCCACGGGGCTGCGGCCTCCTCCCTGGGTAAGGGAAGAGTGGACTTGGGGGGAGGAGGAAGGGGATGAGCTGGATGAAAAGTACAAGAACAGTGACCTAGTGAGGGATGCAGGAAGTTGAAGGTCAATTTAGGGGACCCAGTGCCAGGAGGGAAAGGATTTTCACTACCTCCGTTTTGACTTCAGTCTGTGCTTTCTGATTGCATTCGTTTTTCCCGCTTCTCTCTTAACTCAGGCAAACACGAGGCAGGCGAAGCACCCCCCCCCCCCATGGGAACTGAAAGCACCCCTTCCGCAGTGGGGACTGCCCTGAGCCCGCAGGAGCCTGCGAGCCTGACCCCAAGGCAACGATCCACCTGCCATTCACTGCCCACCCGCTTGGCCCACCGACCTCTGTCCCACACTCGCCTTGTATGAACTTGGTCGTATTTTCAGCACTTTGGAGACCGTCTTTGAGCCGCTAGTCCATTGTCTAGTGGTGCCCTCGTGGAAATAAATTCCTTTCCTGTCTTCCCATCATCCATCTCTCTGCCTTTGACTTTGTGAGCGGCCAGAGGCCAAACCTGGTCTGTCCAAGACACCGGAGCTAGGGGCTCTCATCCCCGGCGCCCTGGCCACAGGAGGAACACAGGCCAGAATCCAGAACCATCTTACCCGATGCTGGGGATTCGTTTCTAGACTAGTGTAGGGGTCTGCGGCCATATGTGACATCAGGACTTCGTCCCCTGTTCAGAGCCTTTGTCACTGACGGAACGCTGTGGGAAGGGCTTCACCCTGTAGGAGAAACAGCCAGAGCCGCCATCCCCGCTCGTGTTCTCTGCCGGACGCCCACCGTGTGACCCCTTTTAACCTCTCCTCTCTTGTCCCCACCCCTCCTGCTTCTATTCCTCGCCTCTTCTGACCTCGATCTTTGGAGAGTGGTTCCCAATTTCAGGAGCCTCGTTATCCCCAGACCGCACACGGACTCCGTCAGCCTCCGACTGATTTCCTGAAGCACCGCGGTCTCATTGCGTAACTTTATTACTATGATCTTATTGCAGTTCAATGTCTCAGGTCTTGTATTAGTAGTATCGATCTATTTTTTTCTATGTTAATGCTTGTTGTCAGTTCAATTCAACAAGTGCATGTTGAAGGCCCACTTGGGGGACGGCCGATCCACCCCGTATTCCAAATGTGCTATTCTGGGAAAGTACTGTGTTCATCTGTTATCTGTCACTTGCTCCTTAGGTTGGAATGCTTGTGCTCCTGGGTCACCCCGAACTGATCTTAGGTAGTAGCCCCGGCCAGGACGGCCTGATGGCGTTTCTGCCGTGAGTCTGTGGGCAGACGTGCCCGGCCCAGTCTCTGCCGTTCTTTGTACGACACGCAGGCCAGATACCCACACGACCTGCGTTGCTCAGGGGCATCAGTCTGTGCTGCACGCCTGCATCTTTTCCGCTCGTTGCCTCTATTGCCTGAGATACGCCTTGGCCTGTGGTCATCTGGCCGCTTCCCAGCGTTTATCAGGATTCGTGATCACTGTCACCTCTTCCAGGAAGTCTGCTCTGGTTGCCCAGATGGTGTCTGGCATGTGCCGAGCTCTGTGCTAGACATGGGGGGGTCCCGAGTTAAGGAAATCATAGTCCAGGACCTCAAAGTGCACTCTGGCTTGGGGACGGGGCAGCATGGGAAGTGCTATGATAGAGGTAAGCACCCGGATGGGGCCCAGAGAGGGTGACACAGAGGAAGCGGCGGAGGGAAGCATGTCCCAGATAAGGATTTCTGGTGAGAGGAAGTGCCAGTGTGGCACATTTGAGCCACTGCTGGTCACTCAAAGGACAAAGCCAGGAAGTGATAAGAGAGAACATTTGACCAGATCAGAAAGGGCCAGGCCATGGATTTGTGGATTTGGTCATTCTAACAACTTTGGGCTTTATCCTGAAGACACCGGGCAGCCCCCACTCTCCCGGGAAGGATTTTAAACAGGGGAGGATGGGATCACACTGGCATTTTAAAGACTTAGCTCTGGGGTCACCTGGGTGGCTCGGTTGGTTAAGTGTCTGACTCTTGATCTCAGCTCAGCTCTTGATCTCAGGGTCGTGTGAGTTCAAGTCCCACACTGGGCTCCACGCTGGGCGTGAAGCCTAAAAAAAGAGAGTTAACTATGGCTGGAGTGCGAACAGTAAGTCAGAGGGAAGGGGGCAGGAGGCAGGGAGGTGGCCCTGGCCTGAACCCAGATGACAGTGTCAGGACCGAGGGAGAGAATGGGGGAGGGTCAGGACATGCCAAGGGGCTACGGTCGCTGGCGCTGAGAAGAGCACCATCCAGCCTCCACCTGTGACCCAGGCGGACGGTGGTCATTTGCTGACATGGTGTTCTCCAGCGGGTGTCAGGTTTGGTGGGGTGTCAAGATTGAGTTCAAGGTTCTCTGGCATCTTCAGATGGAGATGTCCAGTGGGCGGCTGGCTGTGCAACTCTAGAGTGCGTGCAAGTGACTGGAATCCCATACCCTCCAGGACGGCTAGTCTCAAAAAACCAGAAAGTGGCGAGTGTTGGCAGGGATTGGAGAGGTTGAGACTTTTGCACACTCCTGGGGGGAATGTGAGATGGTGGGAAACAGTGTGGCAGGTTCTCAAAAAATTAAAAACGGAATTATCATACGGGGGCACCTGGGTGGCTCAATCGGTTAAGCATCTGACTTTTTTTTTTTTTTTTACTTTTTAATGTTTATTTTATTTTGAGAGACATGGAGAGACAGAAAGCCAGAGATTATTTGAGTCAATTCCTACGTTTGTTTTTGATGAGCACTAGTGGGAGGGGCGATTCACATATGCTTTTATTTATTTATTTAATTTTATTTTTTTTACTTTTTAAATGTTTATTTATTTTTGAGAGACATGGAGAGACAGAGAGAGACAGAGCATGAGCAGGGGAGGGGCAGAGAGAGAGAGGGAGACAGAATCTGAAGCAGGCTCCAGGCTCTGAGCTGTCAGCAGAGCCCAATGCAAGGCTTGAACTCATGAGCCGTGAGATCATGACCTGAGTGGAAGTTGGACGCTCAACCCAGTGAGCCACCCAGGTGCCCGACTCTTGATTTCAGCTCAGGTCATGATGTCATGAGTCGAGGGATCAATCCCCACGCCGGGCTCTGCACTGACAGTGTGGAGCCTGCTTGGGATTCTCTCTCTCCCTCTCACTCTGCCACTCCCCTGCTTGCACGCTCTCTCTCAAAACTAAATAAACCTTAAAAAAAAACCCAACCCAGAATTATCATACACTATAGCAGTTCTACTGCTGGGCATTTGTCCCAAGGAATCGAAAACAGGGTCTTGGAAAGATACTTGTACCCTCATCTTCACAGCTGTACTGTTCAAATAGCCGAGAAGTGTAAGTAACACAAGTATCCAAGGACGGACGAACATATCAACAAAATGCAGCCTGTCTGTGTGTATACATATACAATGCAGCCTGGAAAAGGATGGAAATTCCACCACCTGCCACGACATAGAGGAACCTGGGGGGCATTATGCTGAGTGAAATAAACATTCACAAAAGGACCAACGCTGTGCGATTCCTCTTATATGAGGTGTCCAACTCACAGACACAGAAATTCGAATGGTGGCTGCCAGGATCAGGGGGAAGGAAGACCGGAGGGCTATTGTTCAACAGGCACAGAGCTCCAATTTTGCGAGATGAAAGCGTTCTGGAGACAGATGGTGGTGATGTTTGCCCAACAGTGCGAATGTGTTTCGTGCCGCTGAAATGTACACTTAAAAAAGCCCCTAAAATGGTTCTGATGGTACATTTATGTTTCATGTATTTTAGCACGTTGGGTGGAAAAGGGGCATTTGAGCCATAGATAGGGATTTGGGAATTTTTCGACCATGTGAATGGCGACTGAATTTGTGATTTCAGCTGGACGGGGAGCGAAGAGGGAAGCAATCAGCTGCGGGATGGGCAGAGAAAATGGTGGAAAGGGGTCTGGGCAGTAGCAGCCAGATTCATAGGAGGGAAACTGGAAAGGAGTGGATGTGGGGAGAGGAGAGCAGGTCACAAGCCAGTGACAAGGGTGACTTGTGGCCTCCCCGAAGGCACCTGCTGAGGATGGAATCCAGATTGGGATGAGGGTCCGGGCCCTGTGGGCTGAGGGAGCAGAGGAAAGTGTAGCTCCTAGAAACTTGGCTCTCCCGGGCGGGGAGGGAGGCGGTGGCCCGGCAGGTACCGCAGCTGCCCTAAGTTGACGACAAGATCACTGGCTTTGCAGCTTGCTCCAATTTCATGCTCACTCAGCATCCTTCTGTGTCTATCCAGGTTCCAAAGCCCACGTGGACATATGGCCTTCCAGACAGGGCCACTCTGGCTTAAGAAGCTGGCATTCGAGCTCTTGAGAATGAGGTTGGCTCCCGGATTCCAAACAGCTCAGGCAAGATCAAGGTTGCGGAATTGCTGCGCTCAAGGTGCTGGATCGCACGGTGGTCTCTGCTGTCCCTCCTGAGCTGCCCTCTCCGCCCACAGTGCTGTCTGTCTGTCACGTGCAACTTCCTCTGAGACGCAGTTTGGGCTTCACTCCAGAAAGCCTTCCCCTCCAGCCCCAGGCTGGTTACGGGCTCCCCCCCTGCACCCTTCCTCGGGATCCCATGCTCTGGAACGTGTGCCGGCCACACGGTGTGTGGTGATTTGCTTCTTTCCCCACTGAGCTTGGCTGGCCCCAGAATGTCCTGATCCCAGCATATGGCGGGTGCTCCCTAAGCGTGTATCCACCTGACGAGTGACTCTTGAAGGAAGACTGGGCTGGAACTGTCCAGTGGGTCAGAGGACAGGAAATCCCTCCTTGGAGAGCAGGATTTATCTAACGCCAGGTGGGCTGGCCGCACGGAAAGAAGGACCCTGCCCCAAGGAGCATATGCACGGCGGCTCTTGAGTCCCAGCATCCTATTTGAAAGAGGAATGGTAGTTATATTTGGCCTCTGTGCTCTCAAAATTATTTGTTCATACTTGAGGCTGGCACATCGTACACAATCAATCTTTGTTGACTAGATGAATGAGCCTTTATCATAGGACTTATGATACGATTTTCTAGTTTGTATGTGTGATTTCTCCCCCTCCCCTGCCCCTGACTGTGAGCTCCTGGAAGTCGTGGGCCGTGTCTCACTCACATTTGTTTCTAGAATCTAGCCCAGAGCTTTGCACACCTTCGGTACCGAGAATGTTTATTGGCTGAAAGAGATGAGAACAGTGCCCACATCCACCCACATGTGTTCTACACTCTCCCTTCTCCCCCGCTCCCCAGTATTATTTTTTCCATAGGAAACCAGGTGAAAAACCCATTTCTTGTCATTGGCTTTCAGCAGGCCTGAACGTTTATGCAGGCTTCCTTGGTACCGTGCTCCGGCGGCGGCCAACAGGCATCCACGGCCTCTAAAGAGGTGCTGAGCGATCTGGGAAGACGCACGACCAGCGTGTATGGGGTGGCTGGTCGTCCTAAAGCCCACAGTGTTTCTCTGACAGTGGGTGCTGGCTGATAGAGACAGAGCTGTGCT